TACGTTATTCCATTTAAAAATACGCGTACCCGTGTCTTTTTTTATACAAATGATAACATAATAAAACTTGTTTAAAATTCAGAAATAATTTTAAAACAACGATAGGTACCTGTAGATATTTTCGATTACAAGTAAGTCCCAGTTATTTAAAAATAATACATTTCTGGTATATTTTGTATTTAAAAAATAATAAAAATATTAACACATTTTTATGAATGTGGTATAATATATAATATACCTACTTATTTAAAGTGCAGTGATAAATAACTTTCTCTTACATTTGATTCGTATTCGTTAATAAAAATAAAAAAAAAATTGACGATAATTTAGCACAAACATGTTGAAATAAAATGATAAAAATTGATATATTATAACTCGTGATGAGTATATTAAACTGTATAATGCAATAAAATGTAATAAAAACCAATGACGTAATATAATATTATAATCTGCTAAAAAGCTTCTAAATATAAACAATATGTTACACTTTTTAACCGTATAATATACGTTTCAGTGTTTCAGAGTATTACATTTCATTTTTTTTTCAAGTAGTGCAATATTGTTGTATGGTGTTAAAAATTTCATTTCAATTTATATCTATATTTTTAGAATATTATGATCCTCTTGTACTTCTATAGCAGATACAATTTCCATATAATGTATCGTATTATATATACTTAGAGTTACTCAAACCATTGGATACTGTTTTAAAGTTGACAACTTAGTGTCTCACCTCGTTTCCTCTCGGCTATAAATTAATTGGAACTCAGTTTTATTAAAATATCCATTAAATATTTTCGTATTATTATTTACTATACTATTTTCTTCCTTATTTAATTTTTTTAGTAACTTACTGAAAAAAAAACGTTAAAAGTTTTTTTCTAATTGTTCAAAAACTTGAGATACTTACTCAATTTATGACTAGGTATGGTTTAACATAGAAATTGAAAATCGACAATTAAAAATTTCCTCTGAATTTAAATTTAGTTATAAGATTTCTAATTTTATCAAAAATAGTTTGCTGGTGGTGTAGGCTGTCTTACTATTCAATATAGTTTTTTAATTATTTCCATTTTTTTTTTGTGTGAACCGGGATTTTTTTTATTTATCTCTTACGTTAAATTTGTTTATTGTCCATACTAAATAAAAGTTGTAATTTCATACTAAACATTATGTATTTACTATTTTGATAAACTTTTGTGCAGTATGCAATTTATATCATTATCTTGACAATGATTTATTGTTATTTTATTACCTACATTTTAATAATTACAATAACCTTGTCCTTCAAATATTTCAACGATTTTTTCACGTGGCCTTAATTATTTGTCTTTATTTATGATGGTATTTTATCGATTTAAATAGCATTTGAAACTGCACTCGTGCTATATAGATGTTGAATGAAATTGACCTTTTTATAAAGTAAGTATAAATCTATATTTTTTGTTGTCTCTGTATTTTTTCAGTCTTATAGGTTCACCACATTGTATTTAAATTTATTATCTTCCATTCTGCAGGCTCTAATCTAAACTTATGTTCTATATATATCTGCTGGTTCATCAGCTGAAAACAGTAACAATATTATATGAATTGTATAATGATGTTATCTACTCCGTACAAACGCAAACATGAATGACCTAAAAAAGGTGTACGGGGAATTAATTAGATTTTTTGATAGAAAAGTGTATAACTCTAGTACAAATTACCAATGTTGAATTTAGTAATAAATAATCAAATGGATGTCCAGATAATATAATGCAATCTTGCGCAATGCGATCATTTGGTATATACAGTTCATGAAAAGTTGTCCAAATACAGTATATGTTTTTTGTAATTTCGTGATGTCTAAAAAAGACTTATCCCACTAACATGACGGACACAAATTATTCATTTTATGTAGGTATTCAAAAACCCAGTGCATGATCGTTTTTTATGAACTGAATGTCCATTTTACGAAAAGAATGATTACTTTATGTGGACGTGAGGTAGGTATGTGACATAAATATATTAACATAATATTATATTATCCTGAATACCTATAAGACGAAACTGAACTCATTAAAATTTAACGTCATTACTAATATTTCTTATTAAATATGTCATTGTAAGATGATATTGGCTTAGAAATTAAATATTTTTGGTCAATATCCATTAATTTATAACTCGTTTAAATAAATAACTACTTTTCTAACTTTATGAGGCATAATTGTAATGATATGATATCCAGTAGATAATATTCTAATATTATAGATAGTATTAATATTTTCAATCTAGTATTTAAATATATAAAGTAAAATAAAAATTATAGAAACACAAAACAATTTTATTTGTAATTTAGTTATTCAAATAATGTGTGGTGTGTTTGTGAACTATATAATATAATTAAATTGTTAAACCAATATTATTAGATGCCTATATATAAGTAATTATTAATCATAAAAAGTATTTAAAATATAGATAAGTAGAGAATGGAGATAAGAGATACAGTAAAAACAATTTAACTCAACAATTTTATATATAATTATTAAATTATTTACATTATGTCAAACGATATTGAAATACGACTGACGAACAGACAAACATAATATTTCATAATCATTAGGTATTGGGTCAATTTACAAATAAAATAAAATAAAAAATACAGTTACATAACTACCTAACTGATGTGATTTTAAAATAAAAACGTTTTATGAAACACTACGTGTAATGTGTAAAATGGGGAAAAGTAGGTAACCGCTCTGCTGTACAGTAGGTGTCGAGAGTACCAAGTCATTTAATGATTCATTATAAATTTATTATAATGTATATTATGTTAAATTTGAATTCAATGGTAAATCATTTTATATGAAAAATGATTCTGAGCGAAGACGGACTGATAGCTTATATATTACTAAGTAGGTATATTATGTTGTTATTGCTATAAAGTATTTTATTTTACTTTTATTAATTCGGTGGGTTGAAATAATTTTTGCTTATAAAACATTACGTTTGAAAATGTCATTGTGTGTATAAAATTGCATGTGTTAAAAGTTTCAAGTATCTACGAAAATATTTTTAAATAACAACAAAATGACTAAAATCGTTACTTTTTGTTTAATTTCATCCAAATCCAATTGAAATTTCTATAAAAAAAATTGTTGTAATGTTTTTTTAGATTTATTGACTTAAGTTGTAATACAATTTAAATCTTTTTGACCAAGTAAAACTTCGATATTTACAGAAAAAAAAACAATTTTAAATTTCAAATGTCTATAAAGTATAAATAGCTCAAAATATTTTGAAAATTATATCATGTATTATAGAAAATGGTGAAATAAATATTTGATAAAAATTTAGTTACACCAAAGAAACAAATTCAATTTTGTCAAAAACTAGTTTTGAGTAAAAATACTTGTTTTTTTTTGATTTTTTTTTTTCCCCAGTTATTATATGAAAAGTAATATAAGATTAATTTTGACCCCTAAATCTTAAATACCAACTAGATCTAATTGTCCACCAGAATCAGAAGTTGACCCTCAAAGTTAAAAATCAAAGCATTTTTAATGCTCCAAAAGAAACAAAATACCAAAAACTCACACCACTGTAAAGTCAATAAAACATCAAATTGTATCTTTTGGCTCAGAATCTAAAATATATGAAATATTATGTTTACTTTAAATTTCTTTCGACATAAAAAAAATGTTTAGCAGTTCCACACCGGGTATAGCTACTCATGTACAAGCATATATTATAGTAATCATACACAGCAGTAACAAACATTAACCTAAATTAATTTATTATGACGTATATTTTACATCAATATATTTAACAGTGATAGCAAATTAACGAGTGCCTGGTACGAGAAACGTGCGCACTTAGTAATAAGTAATTCATCCGAAAATGATTCATAACGACTAACGAGATTCACACTTGACACAATTGCAATTTTTTTTGTTTTTTTTTTAGAGGGGGCACACAGTGGTTTAAAAATGAAAATAGTTTGCCAAAATTCTAATTTTCACAGAAATCTTATAAAATGATCTGTTACTTACAGAATAATTATTATAAAAGTAATTCGTATTCTTATACCGACTTAAAGGGCCTCCACGCGACCTATTTTTTTCTCAAAAACATTTTTTACAGAAAAAACTGTCAATCCACGTAAAAAACCGATTTCGATAGTTTTTTTTTTTTTTGGAAAGAGAATCACACTTCTTACAAAGTGCATTTTACTTAAATTTATAATTTGTGTTCCTAAACCATAAAAAAATATGATTTTTTCATTCAATCAAATATTGCTTATAAATAAGCCTGTCCAACTTCAAGTGCTCACTAAAACGAAACGCGCAAATACGAGCAACTAATAATGATAGTATTGTAATCAGTAGATCGTGGTCTAAATGATGGTGTATATATCGCCGTGTAACTTGATGAAAAACATGATAAGATTTGTATGTTTTTAAAAGTGAATAGCTTTAAATCGTATTATTTATGACATTGTTCATTTCAATTGCCACATACTGGTTAATAACAGTCATTATTTCATAATTGAGTCATTAAATACTATCTTAGTATCTTATCCAACGTATGTAAATTGATAAATACTTTAAAGTTATTTTATTTTATTTGTTGTTGAAAATTAAACTTTATGACGATTAGTGACAAAATATCATAATAATTATGAAAAAAACTATATTTCGTCCACTTCAATTATTATTTTATTGGTATTGCTAATATTATTTTGCAATTCGTTTTGCATAATTATTTACTTTGGTTATTACAGAAAATATTTTTGCTATCTTTATTTGAGTATTTTCAAATTCAAAATATCGACTTTTGGCCAACTATTTTCATTTTTGAACCACTGTGGGGCTGGGGTTGGTACATTTTTTTATTGATACATTTTAATTATTATACTCGAACCAATTTCGAGGGTGTAAGGGTGAAACCCTCACACACATATTATCATCATCATTATTATTATTGTTGTTGTTGCTATATTGTCTCATTACACTGTTTCCATGCAACGCCCACAGGTTGGTGACTTTGGGATCGTGGACAGTGGTGGCAACCTGTCGGCTGCGTCGTCGGATGCATCATCGCTGAGCGTGCCAGGATCGGGGGGACCAGGTGGTCACCGTCACAGCATTCCATGGGGCCGGCGCCGGAGTTCCACGTGGACGGGCCGGTACTCGGACGCCATGGACCCAGAATTTGCGGACTTGCAGCGAATGACCACCAGAGGCAGCGTGGGCATGCACAGCCTGTCGGACTCGCTGCACAAGCTGACATTCACTCAGAGCCTGGCGTTCCCGGAACTGGCACGCAAGCTGGCCAGCAGACGGCGACAGGAACAGCTGCGGGCCGCCATCAACGACAACAGCCAGGACGACTTCGAGACGTGTTCAAAGTTCGTCGCCGTTGCCGGTGGGTTCCTGCTCAGCCTGATGGTGTACTGCTTCGTGAATAAGTACGTAAAAGTATAAGGGTGGTCGCCCCGGGGTGACGACCCGGGGCTTGGCGCGGTTTTCGGAAACCAGACCGCGACCACTTCTGCAGAAATGAATGCCACCGAGGCCGCGGCGGTTTCCGCCATCGCTTCGGTGACACGGCCCTACGATAGAGGGCCGGTCCCAGGGCCGATTCCAGGTCAGGTTCTAGGGCCGATATCAGGGCCACTTCCAGGGCCGCTTCCAGTGCAGGTTCCAAGGCCAGCCGTCGGTGCCAAAGATGTTGGTAAGGGTAGTTTACAGCGGACCGGCCGCTCGCTGTGGAATTACATTATCACGATGGACGTCATCACTACCAAGGCCACCAACGACGACCATGGAGGCGTCCAGGGTGGCGATCCTGACGACGACCACGGAGGGAACGACCATGGTGGCGGTCAGGACGACAACCATGCAGGAAGCGACCAAGGCGGCGGTCCGGACGATAACAGGTAGACCGTCCGGTAGTAAACGTGCGCGCCAAATCAATGACGCGCACGCGCGCTCGTTATCGCACCGCCACACGCGATGTACACACACACACGAATTAGTTACAGCCTTGGACGACTGAAATTCGATAAAAGCAAACATATTTGAAAGCTCCGTTCGCTTATAATGTTATCTCCGTAATAACGACACGATGTAACCGTCGTTACTGTGTTTCTATTTCTAGTTCTACCCCCCCCCCCCCAACACAATATGATATTAAATTTGTGCAGCTATATGAAAATGCAAATATGCATTATAGTGTGTACTGTAATAGTACATGAGTTAAAATGCATCTACAACTTATCCACGAGGTTAACTGTATTTTATGTGTGCAGAACGAAATAAAATATCAATGAATAAATAGGGACTGCAGTAGACTGTAGTGTGCATTTTGATTTAAATAGATTTTTCTTGTTTGTACTGCATACACCAGAATCAATAAAAGTTGTAAAACTTGGCGGAAAATGTAAATAATGGTTTATACATCGAATCGTAAAATTAGTAGACTCGGAGTTTCTAATAATTCGATCAGTTTTAAATTTTAATGTTACATTAATGTACTAACATCGGTGTGTGACTTGTTATCGTGTGTGTGTATGTGTTAACTAATTAGTGGTAGATTTAGTATTTTAGGTAGTAGTTGTAGGTATAACATGATTTACAATATCTACTGAATTCGCCTAGTAGGTAACTCCAATTATTAGTATATACCGATAACGTTTATTAGGTAGTAATTTTAATTATTTATAACTTTATAAGATAATAATTTATCCATTAACAACTACTCAAGTCAAGATAATTCAATTTTTCAGTGGCGTAGCCAGGATTATGAAATGGGGGGGGGGTGTTAAAGTATAGATTAAAACAAACTTTTTACAGTTTTCGTATATAATAAATAAATATAGGGTTCGGGGCTTGACTTGTTGCACTAAAAATTTTCGAAATATGCAGTCAAAATTGTCAAAATATGCTTAAATATATGCAGCTACATTTTTATATTATTTTTGAAAAATTCATAAAACATATTACAATTTTGGAAGTAAAAAATTAAAAATAACTAGGTACATAAAAATGATAAAAATAATTTATACACGGGTTTACTAATTTGAATATATGTATAGGTACCTTTGATACCTAAATTGATTAATATGATGGACGGAGGACACTATTGCATGTTTTGGACATTTTTAAACTATTGTGAAGTAAAACAACTTGATTTCTAAAAATACTGGCATAAAGTACTAGCGGTTAATAAATAATTAATAACGAATAACGTGATATTCGAACAATGTGATAAACGAACACTTATCTACTCATTTTAATTTCTTAGTAAAATCTAGAATCTAGATGTCAATTGTAGTTTTAACACAGTCTTGTCATAAACAGACTTATCAAATCTCAAGTTCCATATGCGAAAATAGGACCAACCCCAGACGAGCTCCATCAACAACTTTAACAGCCCTCCCAAACATTTACTAAATTTTGTTGAGCTTAATCAATTTTATAATAGTATAACTTTAGACTTTGGCCTCCCCAAATCTCAAAATTAGTGCCTTTTGTACCTAACCAATCATATTAATATTTTTAAAGATATTTTTCAATGTTATCCAAATATCAATTTCCCGATAAGTGTATGTACATTTAAGTTAAAAAAATGCAAAATATGAAATTCAAACTTTGTTTGATAAGACAAATAAAAAAATTTCATAAGACAAACTTATAACTTATCTAAAATAATCTGCGACCACTACAATAAAATATGCAAGCAGTCCTGAACCCTGTAAACAATATATTTATTAGGGGGAAATGTCAATGGGGGGGGGGTTGTTTTTTAAAAGCTTAAATACTCAAATGTAATTTTTAGTGAAGCTTTATTTTTGTCCAAAAATTTTTATTGTATGTTATATAGGTCTCAGATCTTTGACGTCACTTTTTTTTACCGATTTCTGAGTAGTTCTTTATGCTTTTATCAGAGTCAAGAGACTTTACACACTTTACTGGCTATATATATACAACCTATATATGGGCACTAAGATATTTTGATTATTATATATTACACGTTACCCAGCTAAGGTCAAACTGTGTTCGCTTTCCAATCTATAGAAGTATATGTCGGATAAAATTGACGAGTTTTTTTTAACTGCCTCCAAAGAAACCACGTAAAAGTACAAACACATCGTTGTGAAACTAATAAAAATAACCGAAAACCGATGACAATTCGCTCCGCACAATATCTTGCAGTAAAACCAGATGATAATGGTTTATCTACCTACGTCAGACGTTACTGAGAAACTGTATTTGTCATCGTTGGACCGAATTACATAGGTACCTACGTTTCTTGAATAAAAATATATAAATCAGAAACTGATTTATTTGCAATTCGAAAATATTTCAAGCTCACTAAAATTGTTTGAATAAGTTTGTGACAAAGGAGTTACTCACTCAAAGTTCAAAAAAGTTAATGCATCTCGGGAGTGTCAGTTATCATCATTGCCATTGTATAGAGTAAAATACTAAAATGTAACATTAAACGGGCACCTAATTGGTTAGAAGGAAAACTCTGTATAATACCAGATGAGGCCCTAGAAATACTCCGTGAAAAAAATAGCTTGAATAGTCATATAAATGATATCAAAATTCAAATAAATTTATTAAATTTAACATACTGTTATAAGTTGTAACAATTATTAGTTAGGTATATATATTTTTAACGGCTGCTACAGTGCGCAACACACTCTTTATTAAATAACAAATTGAAGTATATTATCCAATATAATTTTCCTTGGAATTGAAATCGTGCAACTAAAATTGATACTTATTTGTATGACATTTATACTTTCTTCAAATATACTTGTGTAGGTGGTAATAAATAATAATATGTAATTTCAGGCGAATATATGTAACGATAACTACCCGTAAATCATGTTATGGCCCACTTGACATCATAAACAATATTAGATAAAAATAATAATAAATATTTAATTATATGTTATTATGTATATAATATTATAAATTATCATAATATTACATATTATTAGAATATTAGTTAATCGTTTTTAATGTATAAATAAAATAAAATACTTATACAGCTATATAGATATACCTATACCATGCGCCGCGGAAGCAATGCGAAAGCAGATCCCGCGGCGTCGTCTGTTAAAACAGAAAAAAAAAAAGATATACCTATACCATTGCATAGAAGTTATATGATATAACTTTACTATATTACCCAAACTTATAACGCTATACAGTTGGTAAATACTAATTTGTAGTTTCCTATTAAATATTACGTTGCTTACTATTTGTCTACCTGCATAATATTATGTATAAATGAACGAGTGGAGGCTTAAGTTACGAAAATAAATATAGTGTGTATGATAATTGTTAACGCTAAAGTAGTCTTTTTAGACATATTAGATAATTGTAGAACACTTGTTTATTTTAGAATACACGATAAATGAAAATTAAATTAATCTACATTAATTAAGTGTGTTAGGTATAAAAATTAATGTTTAATATTGAGTGTTTATTATAATTTTACCAAGAAATAAATTCCTGTTTTTATTTTTAACTTATTAAGTATGATTTTTCAAAGAAATTTAATTTTAAAGTGTTATTAAGATATTGAATTTCGTTGACAAGAAAAGTTTACATAGATTAAAAGCAAAAGCACTATACATTTACATTCACTTATTTTTAAGAATCTAATTTAAGTTTTAAATATTATAATATTGTACATTACGCTTATATTTTAAATATTAAATAAGATATCTGAGTATTATTTCTCGGAACGTTGAAATAACGTTTAATAACTATATACCTATCGTTAACTATCTTGGGCATTCTTGGCTGAACTTTTATTATTTAAACCCGTTAACAGCAAGCACATTTCTGTTATTGTAATTATTGATAGAATTAGAATAAGTATTTAATGTGTGAGATAAAACTGAATTTGTGTAATATTATATTTAACTACCTACCTACTTATTTCGTTTTAAGCTTTACATTAGGTATTGTGAGAATTATATATCATTAAATATTAGTCAAATTAATTAGTATAGTGAAAACATAATATTGTAAGTTCATCACTGAATTTATGTACTTATCCATTTCGGACATTTAAAATAATATCATCTAGAAGAATATTAAGACTTTCCCGGTTCCTTTATATATTATATTGTATTATTATGTAGCAACCACAACATTTAAATTATTGTTTGGTCCATTATCTATCTGTAGGAGATAGAAATTAAGTTTCAAAATGTTAAAAATAAGTGCTCATATTATAAAAAACATGTTTTCTTCCCATGCAAATAATTTTGCATTGCCATTCAATGTGAGTATTTACATTTATAAGATACTATGATATAATATGATAAGCTAATAAGTTTATATAATACGATATAATATATGTATACCTATATGTGTGAAATAATATGAATGGATTATCAATAATATTATCTTTCAATTATAATGAGATCCAAAGTAAAACGTGTGTGACTTTAATGAACCTTTATAATACTTCCTGGTTCCTCTATTCTCTACCCAGTCGACCCTATATATTATACAATAACTGCTGGAGACTGTAGGTTTTGAAAAATTCAAGACTGGCTGAACTGACCATTCGTCTTTCCATAAAAAATTAGCTGGGGAACGGAGTGACCGAGCGGACTAAGGCGTCGGCTGGGACGTAGCCGGCGCTGGTTCGATATCTCTTCCATGGGCGGCATTTTTCTTCGGGCAAGTCAAGGTGTCCGGAGAACGTCAAGTGCCGCGATCCCCCTCCCCCGGGCATGGCAGAAACCTACGGGTGCCCCGTCAGAAATTTTGCCAAAACACAACACACACGTGTACTAACCTCCCCAATCTAAAAACCTACAGTTCCCTTATTACCACACCCAATGGCCTATGTTACCGAGGATTATACAATATAAAAAAAATTAAAAAATTAAAAAAATAAACTACAG